TATCCCTTTTGTTTGTTTTTCTTTGTAATTACTTTTAATAAATTACTCTGCCTCCCCCCATCACTCAAGTAACTTGTCATCCAAAGGCACAATCAGTACAGCACAGGACACAAAGCCACTCACAGATAGGGAGGGAGGGAAGGGGGCAGGCTGGTGCCTCAAGAGCTGTGACTCACTAGAATCCATAAAGCTTTTCTATGGAAGTCAAGTATCAATGAAGCTATTGTAAGAGATTATGGGCTATATCAATGTAGACTAGTTATGAATTCTCATAGGGAACCAGCACTCTCAAAAAGAGGCAAGGCCACCAAGCCTGGAAAACCACTCAAGGGGATTCCTGCCTCAGTTGCTTTAAGAGTAGCTGTTCAAAACTGGCAGAGTGCCAGATGGAGACAGAATAGCTCCTGCAAAGTAAAGGAACCCATTCCATGTTTAGCTAGCTCTCTTAATGTTCATATTTTACCACTTTGCTAACTTTTGAGTGATGATGACTTCAGGATCAGGCCTAACACAGGCACCTTGCACTGTTGTGAAGAATAATTTTTATCCATCTTAAATGGTGATTTCCAGAAGTCATAATCAGTATAAACATAGACTTCTGTCACAAAAGACAAACACAGCAGTAAAGCATTATTAAAGACTTGCATCAATTTTCTTTTTTTTTAAGTTTTTTTAATTATTATTGTGAAAATACCATACAGAGGGGTTACAATTACATGGGCAAGATCTATTTTCATCATTTTGAATAGTTCGATATTAGAACTATAATAAAAGTATCTCTCCCAACATGGGAAACTTTAAAAGGAACAATAAATGATGTAGAATTCACAAACCAACCTGGATTTTACATGATTTAAAAACATCTGTGAATTACTATTCCAACTACAATTCTAACTGGTTGTGATTCCAAGACAAGTGTGTAGAAAGAACAAATGAAATAAAAATAGAATGAAAATGCTCCATGGCTGAGTAAGGATACCATCACAAACTATTTTTACTATTTTTTTTACTATTTATTATTTTACTATTTTATTATCTTACTCAGAAAACAGAGCTTTATCATTTGGTCTCAATTAAAAGGGCCACTATTTACTATGATGTCCACATTTTAGACAACTATCCTTTTAGATCCTACGTTTTACTTTAGCTATGTCAATGACAATTTCACTAAGTTTTCAATAATTTTATGATCCAAAGTGTTGATTTTCAGGCTCTGCTCTGGCAAAAAAATATTATAAAGACTGCTGTTATAAAAACAACAACAACAGAACGCCATTTTCACCTACTGTTAATTATGACTAATCAGAACAAAGGCCAGCCGATCGTGCCTTGGACACCCGCTTCCAAACACACTACTGAGTTTTAGTAACAGCAACAGCTGAATTTCAATATTTTGAAGATATACCAATAAATACTGTGGTATTGAGTGATGACCAGAAATTAATATTGTAAAATTTGTTCTAGCCTATTATCAAATACATGAAAACTAGAAAGGGTGTTTCTTTTGAACCTGAAAAAGGAAATGGGTTTGTCTTTAAAATATCAATTACAAACCATTCATATTTCCCCTAAAATGTATTATTTCTGAATTATTAAATTCATAAACTATAAAATTATTAAAACAACTATATACATGTTCTTACAAAAATTTGATGCATAAGTTGCATTTATCTTTGAACTAGTTTAAGGTAAAAACAGGAAAAAAAATGTGTGGTCTTCTAACACCAAAAGCCACTTATTATTATCTACTGTTGAAAACACATAAACACACACACACATGCACACACATACAAACTGAAACTACTGCTGCAATCACAACTGTGTGATCTGCCCCTTGCAGAGCTTCGTGACCCTCTCATCTTAATTGTTCTTTGTGTAGTCAGTGTTGGTCTTACTGATTTTCTGTTGAAAAATTATTCAAACTAAATAAAAGGAATTTGATGAAACAAAAAAGACCAAAAAAAAAAAAAAAAACAGAATTGGAAGGAGAAAATACCTCAGGATCAGAAACAGAAGAGATCCAAGTTTGTCATTTTAAATAAAGAAAATCGAGCAGTTTAAGAGAACAGAGTTTTACTGGTGGACAAAGAGTACAAGACTAAAATGGAAATAAGGTCAGAAAAGATTCTGAGATGTGTAAGAGAGAAAGATGCATAAAGATAGGAGGTGAGATCCTGAGAAGACAGATCAGAAAGGCAGCCCAGCTATCTGGTGGGTGGGAATGACACGAAGCAGAAGGAATCAGAGGCCAGGAAAGGCCAGAAGAGCATTTTAAATCACTTATCTGGGTGCAGTATCTCACTCACCCAATTTCCTTTATTTCATTATTCGTTGTTCTAACCCACAGCTGAGCACAGGCTGTTTGTTTTGCTTCCCCTCCTGAGTTCACTGAAAAACTCAACTAGAATTTCAAGTTCCATCAGACTATGCCTACCACTTAGCACCTCAGAGAATTTCTTTAAGGGGAAAAACAAACATCCTCTGAGATAGTTCCTTCTTTACATGCGGCTCCTTGCCCTTGTCAGAGACTGGCTTTTCAGTGAGGCTGTTTTCTTTCTTTTCTCAGACAGGCCAGAAGGTTCTGCTTTCCACAAGGCAGTAAAAGTTGCGCCCTTCCATAGGAGGAAAAATGTTATGACCTTAGCACAGTTAATACAAGATACTAAACCAAACACACTCATCTAGACTGAATCCTAAAATGCAGACAGACATTTGGGAGATGGAAGAAAGAGCTGTTGCTCTTAAGGAGGAATGAAGGCAAGGAAAACAAAGAGGGCAAAGACAGTGGCTAGATTTAAAAGATGTATGTCAGAAATAACAAAAACTTATTTTACAATAGTGTAAAGGCAGAAAAAGTATAATTTTAGTTTAGATAAAAATATACTGGGTGCAGGAAAAAGGTCAAAGTGAATAATCTGCTTCTACTTGTGGCACGATGGACATTAAAAAAATGAATCAACAGTGAATGAACACCTTAGTTCCTATTAATCACAAGCACAAATCCTAACAAAAAGTTAGTTAATACATGACTGCACTGTATTCATTACCACAGAGTACAATCTGTGTTTCAGAACCAAGACATACTTCACTGAGAGCTGCAGGAATGCTTCCATGCCTTTGAGAACCTGGTGTATAGGCCCTTGGGGTGCTGATCTTCCTTCCACCCAACCCTTGGCAATACTGAATTCTTTGCCTACAAACATTCTCTAAGGTCAGAACCAGAGGCCAGAATGCTCTGTATCTGCCCACAGCTTGGAGATGAGACTAGAGACAATAATGATTAAGGTATTCTGCTATGACTGAAATTTCCAGTTCTTGCCCTCCCCACCTCACCTTCTAGACTAAGTCAGCTGTCAGATCCACTCCCTGAAAGGAAGTTCTCAATGGTAGTCCCAACTTTATGTTGGTCCCATTTTCTTGCTCTCTTTTAAACGGCTGCCTGCACTTTCTAGGATGAAAAGTCAGAGGAGCGTTCTTTCTGAGAGTTCTAACACAAAAGACTATCTGGTTAAGAGAGTTGGCTGAGAGAACTCCCATTCTCAGACCCTAAAAGCCTCGGTTGTTCTCTTACCCCACCCCCACCCCCATTTCTCAGAAGACACAGTGGCCACATGAGTGGCACAGATAAGGTTACTTCTAGTTCAGATTTTGGTAGGGTCAATACTGATATTGAGTAATCCACAAAGAGAATGGCTTCTCCCTCTTGCAAGACAGATTGTGTTCAGGCAATCTTATGTTTGACTTTTAAAAAGTACTAGCTACAGCCATTTTTAAGTACTTTTCCTTCTCTAGATATTTTATGACCTCAGTCATCACCTCATCACAAACTTAAAAATACCTTAATCATGAAAAGTTAAACAAACATAACCTTCAACAGCATACTGAGGTATAGCTCAAAAACTCAAGTCTGTTTAAAAAGGATAACTTTTCTATTACTGTTTAGCTGAAGTGACTAATGCGACTCACTGTTCAAAATGGGAGAGGCCCAGGGTAGTGCTCTCAAACACATTGACTGTCTAGGTACCATCACACTTGCAAGCTAGTCCTTTTCCAACTCTGTCAGAAGCTGCTGTCGTATCCTCAAATGCACTTTGAAACTTTGGTATCACCTTCATTATGATGTGCTTTGTGCACATTCTCAGATACTGCAATGCCCATACTAAGGCAACACATCTCAGAAGTTGGCAGCAGGACTATCAGCAAGAATTTGGCTTCAGAATCAAGAGTGATTCATCATACATTCTAGCAGCAGAAAAACAACACACCGCTATTTTAATCCTTTGGCGCTATCTAGATTGCCCCCCCCAAAAAAAAAACCACCACAATAAAACATAATTATTTAGCAAAAGCAACAAAAATCAAATCTGGTACATTTGGTCACTTAGAAAATACCTGACTACTTACCTTATTTTAAAATACTTATCACAATGACAAATCAAGTTTGAACTTAACACCATTTCAGAAGAAAAGAGGCAATGGAACTTGTATAAAGTAACATATTGAAAAACCTAAATTTAAGAGAATAAACTTCTTATTGGCTTTACAGTAAGAAAAATTCCTTCGAGTGTTTTTAAAGTACCCCACTTCTTTCATTGCGCATTTTCTCAGGTGACTGCAATTTAAAGTCTAGTTGCTATTGTTTCTATCATATCCACAGAGGGCCTTTTCTGACATTCGTTTAGAAAGCTTTTTCCAAGGTACCTTGACGCTGTGATGCCTTGCCACACATCTAACAGAATGGAACCCGCTCAAGTCCTGTTGCTCTATTTAATCTCCATCTGAGTCATTCTTACTTCACAAGAACACAGTATGTTGGTGTGGAGGTTATTTCTACAGAATTAGCCATACAGTTTAACGAAAACTGTGGCTTATTGTTAATTTATTTTTTAAAGAAAAAAAATAAGAAAAATACTAGTCTGAGCATTGTGACCAAGTCCCCTGCGAAGAGGAGGCTATGTATGAAGACCTGCACCCCAACAATCCTCGGAGGAATCACCTACCTTTTCAAACACCTCTTCTGGCTCCCCTCGTTTCCGTTTTCGGGGTCTCCGGTTCACTCGGATCCATTTCGTGACCTGAAGTTCAAAGACCACAGAACATTTTTAAACAGGTCGACAGGTCGCGACGGGCTGGCGTGCGGGCGTGAGGAGG